TAATAAACTTTTCGGGGGGGTTGTTTTTGGGGTGAAAATCCTTTTTTTTTCCCTCTTTCCCGACAGTTTTTCTCCATTTTCGCCTTCGCCACCTGCGGGGGTTACAGCGGGGCCGTCTCCTTCTGGATCAGCTGCGATGGCCAACCCAACACCACCGTCACCGCCCCCTTCGCCTACCCCTTCCGGTGAGCCACACCCTCAATGCTGATTGGCCGGTGGGAGGTTGAGGGGAGGCGGAGCCTCAGCCTCGATGGCTGCGATTGGTGGGAAAGTAGCTGGCGGGGAGGGTGGGAAGAGCGGTGGAAACGTGACGGGAGGGATGGGGTGGGTGGGAGGAGCTATCTGGTTGGCCAATTCGTTTTTTGGGGGGCGGGGGCAGGATCTGGAGGGGCCAATGGGATGCCTTGATGATCTGAGCCGGGGGGGGAGAGGCGGTAGTGGTCAGTTGGGGTTCTACAGCCGGCCAATCGGCAGCTGTGGGACATGGTGGGTGGAAGATGGAGCTTTGGGAAGGGTTGGGAGGTGGCTGAAGGTCCAAGAAGGTCCCTCCAAAGCGCACGGGGAAGAGGAGAAGCGGCGGTTGGGTTTGAGAAGTCTATGGTCAGCCAATCAGAACCTCTAGAACGTGGGGGGTGGAAAATGGAGGTTTGGGAAGGGTTGGGAGATGTCTGGAGGTCCAAGGGGGGCTAATAAAGTCCCTCAGAGATGGACGGGGAAGAGGAGAAGCGGAAGTTGGGTTTGAGAACTCTACGGTTGGCCAACCGGCAGCTGTAGGACACGGCTGATGGAAAATTCAGGTCTGGGAAGGGTTGGCAGATGTTTGAGGATTCAAGAGAGGACAAGAAAGTCTTCTGCAACCCAGGTGATGAAGAGGAGAGAGGCGGTGGTTGGGTGCGAGAGCTGTAGGGTTGGCCAACTACCGTCTGTAGGACACGGTTGAGAGAAGGAAAGACCTGGGAAGGGTTTGGGGGGCGTGGGTGGGAGAAGACCACCCCCCCCAACCACCGTCCCGGTGTCCCCCAGGTTGAACCAAGCCACCTTCATGCCCTCGCTGACCAACCTGTGCAACAAGACGTGGCCGGTGGACGTCCACCTGGTTGGTGACTTCTCCTCCTCGGCCCAGTTCTTCGTCACGGTGGCCGTCTTCGCCTTCCTCTACAGCATGGCCGCCCTCGCCGTCTACCTGGGCTACCTCCACCTCTACCGTGGGGCGGGTGGGAAGCTGCCATTGGTGGTAAGTCCATCCTGGTCTTCTCCATCCATCCATCGCTCCATCCTGGTCTTCTCCATCCATCCGTCCATCCCGGTCTTCTCCGTCCGTCCCTCCCTCCCTCCCTCTTGGTCTTCTCTATCCATCTTTCCATCTTGGTGATCTTCATCCATCAGTCTTGTTTTTTCTGTCTGTCCATCCATCTTGGTTTTCTCTATCCATCCATCCGTCTTGGTTGTCTTCATCCATCTGTCTTGGTCTTCTCTATCTGTC